TTTGATGGACTCAAAGATGCCATGCATGGAATTTCTAGCCAAACTACCATCACTTGTTCGCAGGATCGTGTCCATTCAGACATGGGACTTGTTTATTAATATCAAGTGGATTAAATTGCAGTCAGTTACAGGTTACAACGACTTTCTAAATATAAACAGTCAACGGATACCGAAGAACTTTGAAGAATGGTTAATGTGAGAATACATGGAATCCCAGATTTACTCTCCAAAAAAACGTTTTGAGGAGAGAAAGGGGGTTCCAACATATATGGAGGTGAAATAGCCCAGTCTAGTCGATGTAAGACTCTTAACATCCCCCCTTTCCATGGAGGCAAGACGGGCACAAATTATCAGTGTTGAGAGGGGCTAGACCAGTGCAGATTGCCCGAGTGTGTTGAGTCTCTAGAATGGTAGACTATGTGAGAATAAAACGAATCATGATCCACAATATCAGCCTATAAGTGTTCTATCTGGGTGCGTTTGGTATGCAGACTGGGTGGGACGGGCCGAAGAAAAGAGGAAATCACTCTCAGTTGACACCGCAAAAGTGTTACCAAGAATGAAGATGTTTCTGTCCAGATGGGCCTATTCAAGTGGTTAGAACTTCCTTGATGATGCATTTGGTACGTAAACGTATTAGAGTTTGGGTGTTAAATTTGACATGAGTAGTTTAGTAATTTACCATGTTGTCTCATCTCCCTCATTTTTTTCCACCTCTTTTGGTGGGACAAAAACACTTGGTCCCGTCAACAAGTTTTTGTTTCGTCCTGTCCTGTGTACCAAACGCACCCTAAAAACCCTAAAGGACTTTAGCTCGAACCTTACATCCATTTATTGTTCAATGAATTCTGGGAGATGCATCAATAGGCAGATGGAAAAAATTCACCCCCACGGGTGTGGTTTATTCGAGTTTTTCTAAAACAAGAACTAAGACATTTCTAGTAAAAACATCTTTTGATGTACCATGCTAGGTGATTTGCAGTTGGATACATGCTTACTTATCAGGAAATTAACCCAATCAACAATATATAATATTTACCCAAAGTTTAATGTTTGAGGCTGCAAATGTATGCATCAAACAGATTGATCCAGTGGTTTGCTTAGAGGGTCTGTTGGGTACACAAATGAGGTGGACTGGAAGTAACGGAGCTGGCAGTCATAAGTGAGGTAGGCAAGTGAAAGAATTGTGCAAGGTTTTAACATTTTAATTTGGCATGGGTAATTTAGTAATTTACCAATCTTGTTTTATCTTCTGGATTTTCGTTCCACCTGTTTGGTGGGAGTGTGGGACAAAATAAATGCATTTTTGTCCCACTTAGCGGCTGTTTACCAAACACTTACCCGGGTAGGTGCTTACCAGGTCATATTACCTTACTGGATGAATATGACAAGGACCACGAATCTTACCCATTAAGAGTGAAGGCAAGGACCGAGAGTCTCTTACCAAGTAAGTGAGGGAGACGACTCTTACCACGGTTAGCGCTTACCGGGTAAATTGTTGCATACGATACCGTTTTGGTGGACTAATCTTACCCGATAAGTAAATGATAGTGTTGAATTTTACCGATAAGCGCTTACCCTTAGTCTGGTCCTGTCCAAGTGAAGTCCTAACTCAGACAAATGTTTGTTGTCCTGTCCCGCGTACCAAATGCATACTAATTGTCTATAATTAATTAATTATATATAGTTGCTGTATAACCCAACGGCCCCACCACATCCCTTCCCAGATCTATTTCACCAATTACAAAAAAAAATGCTAAGCAAAATGAGACTAACATGTGGGAAGAGTTCAAGATACCGAGCATAACGTACCATTTCTAGAGCTCCCCTGACAACTCCGCTTAAAATGTTGCAGTAATATAAACCTTGACAAGTGTCTGGAAGCTCAACGAAGTCTACAAGTGGATTATCCTCCAAAATAAGGCTACAGGACGTTCCCTCTGAATCCCAGTTAGTCACAGACGCAGTGACCCCTAGAAACATTTTGAAGCCAACCTGTTTTACAAGGTGTCGATTAGACTGGATAGTAGAATAAGGAAAAAGAAATTTACGTAAATGGACAAATATCCAAGATAATGAACAGTGAAAGACATTTAAATATATCAATATAGAAGTGTGTTTGTATGCATTAATTGTAGAGCAAACCAACTACGCCAAATTATGATCACATTTACTAATTCAATCATGGTGCAACTCATCAATTGGTAGCATCATGTAATAGCCACTCAAGAGATTTAAGCTAACCCACAACCCCAAGTTTGGTTATTTTCATCCAATAAAAGCATGCACCTGACTAGTAAAGGGCGGCTAGCTTTACACCAAAGATAACTAAGAGAAAAAGATCCTACAAATCTAATGCTTAATAATTGATAACATTGAAGGATAACAATTCACAAGATGAATCTCATGTCAGGTTGATCAAACATGCTAGTTTTTTCCTGTTAAGTAGGTTCGACACTATATTATATACAAAATTTGTTTTCGTTTGTGTTGGTCGAATCAAATATTTAGACGCCAACTCCACCATGCTATTGCCCAGACACATTCAGATAGGCAGGTCCCCTCCTTACCTTCTAAGGCGAAGAAAAAGAAACCTTACAATTCTAATGCTAAGATAACATTATAGGATAACTCTCCAGCACATACATTTCATGTTAATTCAATTGAATCTTCTAGTTTATAGTTGGAGCAGACTTGATGCTATATCCCACGAAAAACCTTCAAATTCTTAAACACCAACTCCACCTTACTATTGTGCACAAACAACCAGGATCGATTTGATACCCGTAACTTCCCCTAAGGTCCCACAGAAACATTTGCGTGAACATATGTTGTATGGCCAACTACTTGGAACGCCAGAAAATTGCCAAATCATATTGGAAGTTTATCAGACGTGCAAAACACACAAGAGAAGAAGAGCGTACCTTCGCAATGACTTCAGCGGTCTCCCTAAAATCAACACATCTGGTGACATTAGATTTTGCGAGGAACTCATCAATTAGACGAATCCCAATATTATACCCCCTGAATGTAGAAGAAAGGGTCAGATGATGATGATCGCTCACACTTTCACAACTTCACATTGAATTTCAATTTTCAATACCTCATACTCACATTGCCATACATAATAATGAAACTGAAAACACAAAAAACTAATACATACATTTGATCAAGCTGCTTATTGACTTCCTCAACCTCTTCCAGATCCGTAAGCAATTGTCGCACGATCGCTCCATACGTCAGAGTGAACAACTCAGCGTTCTGTGAACAATCGCATTTACAAATCATGAAACAAATTAGCAATCAGAATCTGAATCGAGTACCGAGATACTGACAATTGATTTCCGATGTAGAAAACTTACCACGCGCTCGACGTTAGCGAAAATGGCATCTCCAGATCTAGGAACAGCAGGAGCCATCGACGTCTAAGGTTAGTTGTGTAGTAATACAGTCGTGCTTCTAAACACAGTTTCTTCAGTAGCCCCTGGTATCACTCTGATTGCACAAATCAGAATTAACTCTCCCGAACACGCACAAAATCTACCAAAGCATATGCACAACTTTGAAGAAAATCGAAAATTTTGGAATCAGGGGGGAAATGATAGCATGAACGGAGAGACGAATACCTGAACGCCGGCGGCGGAGATTCTGAATGGGATTATGCGCCGTTTGGTGTATGAGACCGAGAGTTACGTATTCGAGGGAGCGACGGATGTTTCCAACAGCCGGCGGGGAGCAGGAAGGGGTTCAGACGTTCAGTTAAGAGATCCACCGATTGTTTGGTGTATGTATGTCTGATTAATCTGTTCCTGTGTATCGGTAAGGTTTTAGATTTTGTTCCCATCGTTTATAAAAACAATTTATTGACTTATTTTGGTGTGTCATTGGTAATAAATATTTTTGAATCTTTGGATAAATAATTTATATCGGAGCTAAACCGGTATAAGAAGTTTTTAAAAATATTAAACTCTTCTGACTTATAATAATTTGATAAGTGATTTTGTAGAAAAACATAAGTTGTTTCAAACAAACAATCCCTTATTCGTTATTAGATTGGCAAGTTTTTATGTCATTAAGCCACTGTCAAATGGTATGTGTAGCTAGCTTATCGAATAAGTTGTCGGTCCTAATAAGTTGTTAATAAAGAGACCCTAACAAAAATTTATATCTAAAAATTTCCACCAATGCAAGAAAAGTTTATTTTTAACAAGGATTAAGTGGTCGGTTGCTAAATGTCCAGCTTACCGGATGGACATGTCAAATACCAATAATCTTATATGATAAAAGCGATGATAAGGATGGAGAGTCTTACCCAAATGAAGGTGACAACTCTTGGTAACATGTTATACAATCTTTTATGTTTTTTCAGAGTTCGATATTCAGAGGAGATCAATGCCCTCTAACAACCCTACCACGCTACGACCATCACCTGCAACTTCCTCCAGTAAGATCCATGATCGTATCAAAGGCGATATTCACATTTAGATCGAGAGGAGATTAATGCCCTCTCGATCTTCCTCCTCTCTCGATTTAATCTCCACATCATGTGACTTCAAGACCAAATCCCATAGTTTGATTTTGAGGGGGCGGGGGGCATATCATCATCACGAGATTCGGTAAAGACGAATGTCATTAAGGAGATGTAGATTAGAGGAAAACTTCAAATAAAAAGTTAAAAAGACCAAATTGCCCCTCTATGTAACATAATTTTATTAATGTATTTAGAGACATGGACTCAAAGAGTGCAAAAATGCAAACCTGTAAACCCATCCCTCGTATTTATTATTTATCATCGGATAAAAAATGAATAAAAAGCGTGAACCACATGGACCAAGGTTGTCATTTACTCTTTAGTCTGTATATTTATTTCTTATACTGTTGTGGTAAGTCTAAATTCATCTATGTAGTCTTAGCCTGATCCATATCACAATATGCATTTCCGTTTTCAAATAAACGCAGAACAATTGAATTACAGGTGTGATTGAAAACCAAACATAAAATTTAATTTGAAGGAAAATCAAAATCAAAATAAACAAAGTGAGTGGTTGTCATGGGATTAATCGGCTCGCATAGCAGGTTTGATATCTATGTTAATTAAAAAAAACCCTGTAATCTTCAAATATGGAATAAATTTACATTCCACAATAGGATCAAATTCTAACTACTTTAATTTCATTTTTTTATTAACTTGGATATCGAACCCGCTATGCGAGCCGACTAATTCCAAGACGACTACCTGCTTTGTAGATAACATAGAGTCACTGCATTTGAACCTCCGTGGCCACAAGGGGATTTTTATTCTTCATTTGATTTGAATTTGAGACCTTCTGGTACTTTTGACTTTTTGAGCCAAGCTTAAACCAATCAGACACCACCCTTGTGGTTTACTTTTAGTTATTGCTTAAATAATAACGTTTGATATAAATTTATAGTCGAAATCTGGATAAATATATGTTATCCGAAAACCATACATCTAAATCCTCTCCTACCAATAAAATTAAAACACAATGAGATTTTATATATTTTTAGGGCACCTTATCTTGAGAACTGTTCAGATCGTGATATATCCGAGAACTAATGCATCATGTACCATTTCATATGATTTTTCTTCATTTATGACTATAATTTAATGTAACAATTGACATATGTTGTTTGTAGTATTCGGTTCATAATGTGAACCTTTTTGACGTGTTTGTGAAACAAAAGCTTTACACTGAAATTAAACACACCTGAAGTAAACACATTGTGAAACAAACACATATTAGTCAATATATTAAATAATGTACTTAGATAAAAAATAATGTAAAACAAATGTATAAGATAAAAATTCTTACGAGTCTCACAAATTTTAAAGTTCTCAAACCGTAATTTACTTTTTTAGGTAACGGGTATTTATACAATGATATTCATTCACAGTTTTAATGGGAGGATTTTTATCCAAATCAAAAGGCAGGGCATGGAAAGCAACCCAACTCGGTCAGAGGTCTTTTTTACATGGGTATCAGATACTTATATGTTAGAGCTGTTCACGGGTGGTACGCCCATTACTCAGACTCTTAGAAAAGCGGGTTTGGATAACCATTATTGAAAAAATAGGCAGGTTTGAGTTGGATCGCTAAAATTAATGGGGGAGTTTGGGTAATGAAAACAAAGAATTTGGACAAACCTGCCGGGCCCATCATATTATTATAGTTGATTAAATTTTATATATAATTAATAACTTATGGTCTGTTTACTAAACTCTTATTTGGTAAGTGCTTACCGAATAAATTTTCTTATCGGATGAACATGACAAGGGGCCAAGAATCTTACCGGGTAAGAGCGATGAAAAAGATGTAGAGTCTTACCTAATAAGAGAAGATTACGATTCTTAAGCAGGTAAACGCTTACACGGTAAATTGTTGCATTCAATACGTTTTGATGTACTAAAATCTTACTCATCAAAATAAATTATAGTGTTGACTCCTATAAGTAAACACTTACCGGATAAGCATTTGAATAAACTTTTTTATTAAACTGATTTAGAAGTGGTTTGAAGTTGGATTCCTTCAACTCAGTAACAACCGTCACCCAAATATATATAATATATGATATGTTATATCTATACTATCTTATAAAGCAAATTTAACAAAAGTCTTAAAATACTAAATGAGCAAAATACCCTTTATCACTTTTTCAACCTCTCTTCTCCTCACATACACTCATCATTTCACAACCCATTTTTTTTTAAATTTTAAATTTACATTTTATTCCCTTATAATTAATTAATTAATTTACTTTACGTCATTTACTTTTAAATGTTTCATTTTAAACATTTATCAAATTAATATACATAATCGTATATCAATTAAAACATGTTTAAAAAATACRTTTTTATTTTAACAAGTTACACAATTATAGTCGTCTCGTTAATATCTTCGAAATGAGTCAAATATTGAATAGTTTTTGACTTAATTATATTATTATATGTTATATATATTGTAAAAAAATATTTTAATATTTACGATTTATATTTTTATAGTTATTTATTTATATATATATACTATATATTTTGGGGTTAGGCTGTCCAAATTACACTGTCCAAATTACACTGTATAATATGTTTTGAATTAATATGTTCTTGGGTTTTTTTAAAATGTATATATATACATGTATTAATTCAATCTTAATCTGAGTTTTTGGACAAGAAAGAGAGTAAACAATTTAAATTTCATTCTAAAACCCATTTTTTTTGGTCTTTTCATGGCTTATAATCTGTCAATTTTGTAGTTTTCTTTATTGGTTTTGAGTGTTTATTTTAAAACTCAAGTTTTTTGGTTATTTGCTCTTGGTGTAAATCGAACACATTTGTGGAGTCGTTTAAATATGTTGGATTTTAAATATATTTGATTTTAAACTGTCATATAATTTTTTTCATTGATAGTCTTTAATTGGAACCATAGCTCTTATTTATTCAAATTGTATTAATATGTAAAGACCAAGTATAACATATATCATCGTTAAATCTTATCTTATAAAACCAGTGAAACTTCAAAATCATTAAAATTCATGACTCCCGCTGCATTACGCAGATACACAACTAGTAATGTGTTAAAAATCTCTGTTGAAATATTAGGTGAATAAATATTTTGTAATATCATGTCGGTTGAGCGAAAAAATTATCGGCCCGGGCCCGGAACCGGAACGGCCCAAGCCCGTAGATGATCGCCATATATTCTGCGCCTTGTATTGTGAATCTGGTGACAAAACCCAAATCAATCGTTCGTTCGGATTTGTCCGCTCTTTTTAGGGTTCTTCTATCCCGTTTCCTTCTTCACTCTGAACTCTAATAATCGGATCAGGTACTCTTTCTTCCCATCTTCAATCGATTTTCTTCGCAATCGTCATCGTATGTGTGATTGATTACATGGTTGTGGCTGTTTGATTTCATACTATCATGTTTATCACGTAGTATTTATAGCAGAAGCCCCCCTTTTGCATCCGGGGTTGTTCTAATTTGTATGTTTGATCGTTCTTGGAGGTAATTTCAGCAGATTTGACTTTGTTTTTGGGGAATTTTTAATATTCGCTACTGTTTTATTTGTTGGGATTCTTCATGTAAGGTTTATTTGTGGTAAATTTGTCATGCTAATTATCGATTTTGTTAAATTGTTGGGATGTGATGCTAAATATATTTGATCTGTTTGTGTGATCTGGCTTTCGAATTGGTAGCTTTATTTGTTATCTCGGTTATAGATTTCCTTCAGGTATGGTTTTCTTGGTTTTAGTTGACCAAACTTGTTCAAACCCTAATTTGTCTGTGGTGGAGAGGAAGCTAACGGTTTAGCAGAATTAGGGTCTGTTTGTTAGCATGATGAGAATCAACAACTTATTCTGTCAGCTATATGCTGCTGCTAGGTAGTGGCTTAATGATATAGAAAGGGACTTATTCATTAAGCTTCTACTAGGAAATTTATGCAGAAAGCCAAGTTTTTTTTCAAACCTGCTCCCCCCAATTAAAAATCACCCATCTTCCATCTATGAAAAAACCTTCCCAATCTATACAGGCTGACAGATTAATCCACACAAACAACTTCATTCATATATTACTTAATGAAAAACCAACCAAACAACCTCTTACAATCTTATTCAGTAAGTTTTATTCAGAAAGCCAAGTTTTTCCAAAACCTGCTCCTCCCAATAAAAAACAGGTATCTTCCGTCTATGAAAAAACTGTCCCAAACGAAAATCTTTCCAATCAATACATACAAATGAATCCACACAGATAGCTTTATCCGTGCAGGATTTACTGGAAAACCAACCAAACAGCCTCTTACTGTCTTCCATGGATATCTTGAGGTTACTTTTTCATCTAACGGCTGTTTGGATTCTGGGTTTGTTTTGTATGTCCAAATTCCACATGAGGTTATTACTTGGATTTTGGTTATAAAATACATGAACAAAGGGTATTGCAAAAAGGACAGTTTTTCAATTACCTAGGTTTTATAAGAGTGGGAATAATTGAGAGCTGTCACTTGAGTGTTGTGTGTCAAAAAGGCACCATGAAGCTAAAACGGTAAAAAGGTAAATTCTTATGGTAGCAAATCCCAACAAGTCCTGTCATATGGGGTGGTGTGTTGGGCGGTAAAGAAGGTGCTTGAAAAGAAGTTAGAACTTAGAAGTGGTAGAATCTAGGATACACTCATGTGGACTTGTGGCCGAACTATGTTGGACAAGATGCCAAATAAGGACTCTTGAGCAAAACTAGGGGGCTATTTGGTTGGGTTTCCATTTAGTCCCTTATGAATAAAGCTGTTTGTGTGGATTAATTTGTTTGTGTATATTGGTAAGGTTTTTGGTTGGGAGATTTTTTCATAGATGGAAGGAGTGTGTTTTTTTGATTGAGAGAGCAAGTTTGGAAAAAACTTGAGCTGCTAACAAACATGTCCTAGGTGTGGTGTAACACAAATAAATTTAGAGAGTGAAGACTTAGTTGGTTTGGGCACGCTTGTTGGAGGCTACTGAATAAGCCACTTTCTAACTGACCGAATAAGTTGTGAGTCCATTAAGCTCATCAAGCTGCTAACAAACATGCCCTAGGTGTGGTGTAACACATATAATTCGAAAGAATGAAGATTTCGTTGGCTAGGGAGCGTTTGTTGGGGTTATTGTTGGCATCAACGAGGAGGGTAGAGTGTGTAATGGCTTGAGCGCTTGGGGAGGAGGGGCATGTAGGGAAGGACGTGGGAAGAACATCTGAGAGCATCTCCCACAACTTCTCTATAATTTCTCTAAAATAGAGAACTAAAAGTCAAAATTTCTAAAAAGAATTACATTTAATTCCAACTGATTGCTCTATTTTAGAGATTTCAACATTTATTATGTTATTAAAATATTTTATACATTTATCATCCCAATACACTTTTCAGATGCAATTTATATAAAATAATAATAATTCAATCTCATTGGTGGAAGTGAATAAAAAGTTAATTTCTCTCTTCGCACATCAAGTTTTAGAGAACTCCGTAAACTTGGGAGATTTCTTTAGTATTTTCTATTTTAGAGAACAATATAGAGAATCTGTTGGAGCAAAATAGAGACTGAAGCCCCATTTTCTCTATTTTTGGAGATGTTCTGAGACTTGACATGAGGACTTCAGGCATTTTTTAAGACATGACCTCAACTAGGAGTTTGTGGAGACATTAAGGATTTGAGGACCTGTGGGACCACTTATGTGTTAGGTTGCATATATGTGTGTCCCACTTTCACACTTTCATACACTTTTCACAAGTTGGGTTTCTTTAAGGAAACAATCGCTCTCTACTGTTTCGAGTAGAGGTTAGGTTTGTGTACATATTATCCCTCCCAGACCCCACATTCGGGTGGGACATACTGGGTTTGTTTGGTTTGGCTTTATTCTCTAATTGCTTTTTTAATGCTTTTATTTTCGCTGGTCAAAGTATTAAGTTTTTGTTTTGACTTGTATGTGTATTTCTTGATCCAGATCCGGGCATCGGTTATATTGATAAGATCTTCGGTTGACTTTTCACTTCATCAGCAAAGTTTCATGTCTGAACTCGACATCCAAATTCCTAGCGCCTTTGGTAAGCACCTTTCATCAAGACCACATATGTTGATTTTGAGTACCAAAACCGTTCTATGGTCGATTAAAAATCATTGCATCTTCTTATAAAATTTTAAACTTGTGATTTATCATCATCATCATCATCATCATCGTTTTTACTTTGGGGGAAAAATTATTTCTGAAAAGTGAATCAACTACCTAATGTTATATATTTTGTGTTATTGTGTACGTGTTGGGTTGCGATGAGAAGGGAAGTTATGGTGAGAAGCGTAAGAAGAGATCTCCACCTTGGATCAATCCTAATTGAATGTCAACGCTAATAAGGTGCATTGAGATGCACCAAATCAATTCCCTTTTAAAGCGCAATTCATGGATCGGCATGAGATTAAAAATGATCAAGGGTTCAGATATCTTCTTACGCTTCTCACCATAACTTTCCTTCTCACACGTTCCTTCACCTATCGTGTATAATATATATATTTAGTATATATACATATATTTTGGTGTATATATTTCCGCCTTGAGGCTTACCCAAAAATTGGGTAAGCGCTCTCTGCGGTAAGAGATCTTACTAGGATATGAGGTCTAGCTCGGTTAAATGCCGAGTATCAGTTAATGTTTTATATTAAGTGCTGATTAGTTGAAAATGACTATCATACCCCTATTTACCAAATGTTAAATAAATATATTTCTTTTAGATAAAAACCCCTACTAAAAAGTTAAAACCAATTTCCCCTTCTATCTTCTCTGCACACAATACCCAAAGAAAACATCAAGGGATTCCTTCACCAATTGACATAGAGCTATTGGAGAGGATGAAAAAGAAGAAATAACCACGAGGGAAGAAAAGAGTTTAAGAAAAAAGGAAGTCCAAGCCCTAATCCAAAAGCACAGCTGGGCGATACTGATTACAGGGATGATATCGAAACACGAAACTAGAAGGGGGAATAGAGGACACATCTGGAGGAGGATAAGAACAGCTATGGAGGATCGATTTTGTGTGTGGGATGTAAAGATGTTGGATTTTGTACAGCCATGAGTTCTTAACAGTAAGTAATGGGTAATGGGTAGATAAGGAAAATGAGCACCGAGTACTGACCATGGTAGGCGAGTACTGACCATGGTAGGCATAGATGATAACTCTGTCTCCAGTCAGCTGTTCGACCAGCAGTAAGAGATAGGTTTTGTTTTAGTGAACACCTCACCTCTTACCAAGGTAAGAGCCTCTTACCCGCTAAGAGGTGTTAAGAGGTTAGTAAACGGGGCCTTAGTTCAACGTTTGGTGCGACATTAGATTGTTACATGAGACACCTGAATGGCACAAAAATGCATTTTTTTGCTGTCCAAAATCATGGAGATGATATAAGATTGGTAAGTTACAAAAATACCCATATCAAATTAAAGCCCTAAAACCTTCCAAAATTCTTTACCCGCTTACCTCACTCTAGCCCATCCAGTCCTGTCTACGTAGGGTGCGTTTGGTACATTGGACATGACTGAACATAACGAGGATCACTGATTCACGTTTGACATGATTTTTACGTGAAACATAGTGGAACAGGCGTGTTCCACCCCACCCCATGGAACAAGGTGGAACAACCTATACATTATCAATATAACTTCAAAATAAAACCTAATTCTCTTCTAAAACATCAAATACGTCTACCTCTATACATTTTATTCATTCTCTAAATTTCTGTATCGTATCTTATGCTGTTTATACTTTCACTTTACTGGCCTCAAAATATTATTTTTATACGGTTTCTATATATTGGTTAATTGATGTAGTTCATTAAATATTTAATAATAAAAAATAATATAGAAAATGTATAAATTAAAAATTGGAAATTACATAAAACCTTTTATTTTGGTGTCATTTTAATCGTTTTGATGAAAACTTTTTAATTATATATTTTGTTATAAAAATATGTATTTTATTATAATTTAATAAATTACATAAATTAATCAAGATATATAAAAGATATAGACAACAATAAGGGGTAAATTGGTCATTTTATATGTCTTGTCCAGTTTTGTCTTATCAAACGCTGAACAATTGTTCTGTCGTGCCTGTCTGGATACCAAACACACCCATATCGAAAACTTAAATATTCTGATTTTTCATTGTATCTGCATCGGCTTTCTTCATTTTGTAAAAAAAATCAATCTGGTGTTGCAACAAATGCAATTCTGTTCCTGATTCATCTAATGTTTTAAACAACACTTGATGAAAATAATCTTAAAGGTGATATCTGTAATCCCGGATAGGACGTAATATAGTGATTTTGTTGGTTACAGACCCGTTTGCAGAAGCAAATGCTGAGGACTCTGGTGCTGGGTCGAAAGAATACGTTCATATTCGTGTTCAACAGCGAAATGGTCGGAAAAGTTTGACAACGGTTCAGGGACTTAAAAAGGATTTCAGTTACAATAAGATTCTGAAGGACCTCAAGAAGGAGTTTTGCTGCAATGGCACCGTCGTCCAGGATCCCGAGCTAGGCCAGGTTTCTTTTGCACCCCTCCTACTAACATTACATATATATATATATATATATAGGCTTAATCATTTGAGAACCATATATATTGTGATAACCGTGAGAACTATTATTCTGAAATATTGATTGTTTCACATGGTTTTTTCCATCTTAGGTTATAATTTAATATATTGATGAACATAATGTGTTTGTTTCATATGTATCGTTTCGTGATGTGAAACTTTTTAGTTGTGTTTTTTGTTTTACAACAAATAATAAATGTGCACATTGTGAAACAAATATATGTCAGTCGGTACACCAAAAACCGAAGCCATAGATGGAAAAAAATCATGTGAAATTGCCCATGATGCACGGTTATAAAGGTTATCACAATTTTGTGGGTTCTCAAATGAAGGCTCCATAGGGTTGGGTTTCGTTGAGAAGTGAAGTTATGGTGAGAAGGGTAAGAAGGGACTTCCACCCTTGTATCAATCCTAATTGAAGATCAACACTGATGAAATGCATCGAGATGCACCGGATCAATTTCCTTCTAAAATGCAATTCATGGATGGGCATGATATTAGAAGTGATCAAGGGTTGAGATTTCTTCGAGATCTCTTCTTTACGCTTCTCATCTTAACTTTGTTTCTCACAAGTTCCTTCGTCAGACCCCATATATATATAGGTGAAGGATTGTGTGAGAAGAGAGTTAAGGTGAGAAGTGTAAAAAGGGATCTTGACCGTTGACCACCTTTAATCTCAAACCCACCCATGAATCGCTCTTGATCTGGTGCATCTGATCCTAATGTGCATCCAAGGGTAGAGATTGCTTCAAACGCTTCTCATCTTAACTCTCCTTCTCACCAGAACCCGACCCTACATATATAACGAGATTTTAATTAAACCTGTGACCTCATGACTCATGAATATGAAGCCATATTGATTTTTAATGGGTCAGGAGGTCATGAATTTGATTAAAATCTCATTTAAGGTTATATCCTAAAATGAGTCACGTTTGACTTGATCTTGATTTCATATTGTTATATTTTTTTTCGTTTTTGATTATGAAGGTCATTCAGCTCCAAGGTGATCAGCGGAAGAACGTCTCGAGTTTTCTTACTCAGGTATGCACAACACTTTGAGAGTGACGATATTATTTCATGATAAAAAAGGTTACAAAGACGCCTTTTTATAGGCGAAACTATCTTGGCAGATGGCAACTTAAGTTGTGGTGCACTTGTTAAGACTCGGGGATTCAGTGGAAATCTCATCTTTCCCGGGTTTGAATCCAGGTGTTGCTAAAGCCCTTGTGGCCACGGAGGTTCACCTCGATTCCAATGATAACTTCGGCCACTCGTGGTCACACGGGGGATTAGTTGGTATGCATAAGCTGGCCTACATGCAAACGGTTAACCACCCCCCCCCCCCCCCCCAAAAAAAATGCTAAATGGTATTTGCCTAAATAGAGAAACTAAAATATGGGAAATAGTTCTAATAATCTATTGCCCAAATAATAAAAATAAAGTATGAAATTTAATTAAATAAAGGTTGTGACATTTTTTTCAATTCGGGTTTCTTTCGACCCTTTTTTTCTTCTATCTCATCGATCCATGAAAGAGTCTGCTAATTCTTGGATCTGCTATGCCTTTGGCCTAGCGGTATGTGAGTCTTTGGCCTTTTAGTGAGGTTAGGGGCTTAGACCTCACTAAAGGTGAGAAGGGTGTGTGAGTTTATTTGTTCTATTTGTTGTATATAAATATTATATACTTCAAAAAGAAAATCTTGAATTTGCTATGCCTTTGTTTTCCTATAAGGTTTGAGTTTGTAAATGCCAGTAATGCGTAGATTGATAGTTTTGAAGGATATTTTTGGTGATCATAAGCTAACTATTTTTGAGCTTATTGAAAAAACTTAATTAAAGCGTAAGCTAACTTTTTGAAAAGCTACTTCAGACAGTGTCTCAATTACTTATTCCAACTATAGCCCATACATTTTCCTTATTAATTTTATAACATGTTTTTTTTTTATGTCATTTTACATTGTCATCTAGCTTATGAGCCGTTTTTACTAAATGTGACTAGCTTATCAGTCAACAACTAACTTATCAGCTAACTGAGTTGCCGTTTGTGGTGGACAGGCGGGGATCGTGAAGAAGGATCATATCAAGATTCATGGTTTCTAAGCTCTCGAGTTGTGTACACGATACTTGTAGACTTCTTCTATATTGTCTGTGAAACTTTAATAGCATATGGTTTATGTTGCATGTTGACTGTTATTGACATTAGGTATTTTAGTAGTATTGGTCATGTTAACCATTCAAATAAAGAACGATGTCGTTTGCCTCACTTGCTATTTATTATTTCCAACCTACTTTTTGCAATATTAGCTATGTCTACATATTAGCTAAAAGACAAAAAAAAATCAAATTATTGCGGATCTGATTGTCGCTATGATCATCATTATTGTGGATATGGTAGTCGCTATTGTAGATTTATGTTGATTCTGAATTTTTTGGCCATTTAGTTAATATTGCGGATCTGGAGATATTGTTGAAGTTAGGGGTGGTCAAAAATCCGACCAACCCGATCAACCCAACCCAATTCAATGAGAAATAACTCAACCCGTAGCAACCCGATGTCTAATCGAGTTGTAAAATTTTCAAACTGTAGGTATTGCGTTATTATTATTTGAACCTAACCCAACCCGATATCCATTTATTTCTTGGATTTAATATGATTGTTGAATTTCTATTAACATATACACTAGATAATTACACTATCACGTACGCTATTCATATACACATTTTTTCATTTTATTTACATCTCTATATAACTTATTCGTATATATGTTTAGTAATTGTAAACATATATACGTAAATTGAGAAAATTAACTTAATGCGATATACGTAATAAGTATGGATAAGTTGTATCAAATGGTTAATGATGAAAAAGAAATTATGAGCAAAGAAATAACATGTTCAAGGTTAGAAGAATATTTTAATGTACCAAAATATCAACCCGATCAACCCGTACGGTTTGGGTTGGGTTGGGTTATTAAAATGTCTTCAACCCGATCAACCCAACCCATGAGCATCCCTAGCTAAAGTAGTAATATTTAAGTAAACCAAGAAGAAAATTAGTTAGAAGATCAATTTCCCCTCCATATGTCCTATTTGTGGGAGTTATAAGTTCTTTATTTACTGAAAAAAACAAACTAATTAAATGCATTTATGAGTTATTTTTTTATTTGTTAAATTATCGTTTTTTATTTGTTTAATTAATAACATAATTATCTAAAATGAGCGATTCTTATTGGATCTTACAGTTATCATAAGTTATTGAATTTTCATCTGAATAGGTTACTATATATGGGGTTTAATCATTTGGGAACTTCAAAATTTGTGAGACTGTAGGAACTTCTCTACCTTTTAAGGGTTTGTTTCACATGGTTTTTTTTTCATCTGAAGTATAATATTTAATGTATTGATGAACATATATTTGTTTCACATAGTATTTGTTTCATATATGTATTCGGTTCATAATGTGAAACTTTTTTACATATATTTTTTGTTTTTGCAAACATGCCAAAAAGGTTCACATTGTGAACGAGGTATATGTGATTCATTGTGAAACAAATATATACTAATCACTATATTAAATTCTAGCCATAGATGGAAAAAAAATCATATGAAATATTACATGGTGTATTGTTTCACAAAGATCTCATGATTTAGAGAGTTCTCAAAAGAAAGTTATGGTCAGAAGGGTAAGGATCTCCACCCTAGGATCATCTCAATTGAAGAGAACCACTAGATCAACACCAATGAGATGCAATAGATCAATTTTCTTTTAAGCGTAACTCCTGGGTTGTTTTGCGATTAAAAGTGATCAAGAGTCTAAAATCTTTTTACACTTCTTAACTTAACTTTTATTTTTACATGATCGAGTCTCTCTCTCTCTCTTTATATATATATATATATATATATATATATATATACACACATATATAGGGTTGAGTTCCGGTGAGAAGAAGAGTTAAGGTGAATAACATAAGAAATGATATCCACCCTTGGATGCACAATAAGATGAGATGCACCTGATCAATCTCGTATCAAGCGCGATTCATGATGGGTTTGAGATTAAATGTGATCAAAGATCCAAATCCTTTCTTAGACTTCTCACCTTAATTCTCTTTCTCACACGATCTTTCAGACACACACACACACACACACACACACACACACACACACACATATATATATATATATATGTGTGTGTGTGTGTGTGTGTAAAGAATCATGTGAGAAGAGAAGTTATGATGAGAAACGTAAGAAGATATCTGAACCCTTGATCACTTTTAATCTCATGCGCACCCATGGATTGCATGCTTTAGAAGGAAATTGATCTAGTGCATCTCATTAGTGTCGATATTCAATTAGGATTCATTTAAGAGCGGAGCTATTTTCTATATATATATATATATATATATATATATATATATATAATTAGAGAGAAAATCAAACGAAAACATGAGCAAAAATAAGAAAACAAAGAAACAACTAAATCACATGTGAAAATATTACTCGTTAGTCAATATTAAAAACTAAAAAGAAAAACAATAAAACCAAAAAATAAATCAAACAACGCCTTACAAAAATTGCGTATCGGATGATGATGTACCGATAATTTAACATGATATAATCATATAAAATACAAGCCTTGAGAAACAACGTGTCACTGATCTTTAATGCAAGGTTCCCTTATCGAGGATCCCTGGAGAAGATGATTAAGTTGGCCCTACAAAAGAATCAACATTAAAAGAGTAAACTATTATTTTTGTCCCCGTGGTTTGTTAATAATTTCAATTTTTATTCCCAGACTAATTCCTTCTTTTAATGGGGTTTTTGAGATTGCTTATTAAAACAACTTATTGACTTATTTTGGTGTGACACCGATAATAAACACTTTTGAATGTTTGGATAAACAACTTATACGATACCAAACTGGTAATAAAGAGTTTATGAAGAAGTTAAACAATTCTAACTTATAATAACTTGATAAAGACATTTGTAGAAAAACATAAATTGTTTCAAATAAGCAATCCCATACACCCCCTATATATAAGATAACAAAACAATAAAAAATTGTAAACCACAAGAACCATGACAACAATAAACTGTAAATCATAAGGATGAAATCGTACTTTAAAAAATTCTTTTATTATGACATCGTACTTTAAAAAATTTACCCGTTATAGCATTGAGTAACCTTTTAAATTAAATTTACCCATTGTACCAGGTTCTTTGCCACCTCGTCATCCACGACTCCATGTAGGCTGCCCACATATACGATAGTGCTGGCATGACATTTCTTATTATAACATTGTACTTTCAAAATTACTTTATTTTAACATCATCAATTTCTATTATAACATCATACTTTCAAAATTACTTTATTATAACATTGTACATTTAATTTTAATATTTTTATCATTTAAACATTGTAAATTTAATCAAATATGTTTACTAAAAATTATAATAAATATTATTTGAGATTATAATATCATTTAAGTACCCGAGTAATCGGTTGAAACATGAACCGATCAAACATGTTGAAGCATTAACCGGTTAAATTAAGATATTTATGTCAACAAATAATATTGAGTTGAATACACCATCGATCGCCACATCATCATGGTAACCGGTTAATGTTTCAACCGGTTATCTGGGTACTTAAATGTTTAAAACTTGAGTTATTTATAAAAATAACCGGTTTACACAACCCTTTGCCACAAAATAACCACATTTTAGAGGTTTTGCCAAAATAACCACCCAGATCGCCCCGTGCACAATGGGGGCGATCCCCCTTAAAAGTCTTAAAAAAAATTCTCAAAAATCGAGATTACTGTTCACCTCATTGACCGTGTTTGACCTCCCCCCCCGGGGCGATCCGTACTGTACCGGGGGCGATCCGGGTAAAAAAAAATTTTTTGATTTTTTTTTCTAATACCAATTTCAATATAAATATCAACCTCCTAATTTATAATTTTTCACACATTCCCTTCCATTTCTTTTCTCATATATTTTACTCTCACAACCCTTAACTCATTAAACACAATAAAACATCACAAACTTTAACCCACTAAATACATAAAGTGTGTCTTTTTACGTATTTAATTTCAAATATCACGATTTTTCGTTATAAAATAACCGGATGATAATTGTGGTTTTTTTTTTTAAATTTTTTGGTATTTATTTAAAAAATACAACTTCAATGACGTATCATTTTTATTAAAAATACCAAAAAATTAAAAAAAAAAACCACAATTATCATCCGGTTATTTTATAACGAAAAACCGTGAAATTTGAAATTAAATATGTAAAAAGACACACTTTATGTATTTAGTGGGTTAAAGGTTGTGATGTTTTATTGTGTTTAATGGGTTAAGGGTTGTGAGAGTAAAATATATGAGAAAAGAAATGGAAGGGAATGTGTGAAAAATTATGAATTAGAAAGTTGATATTTATAGTGAAATTGGTATTAGAAAAAAAATCAAAATTTTTTTTACCCGGATCGCCCCCGGTACAGTACGGATCCCCCCGGGGGCGATGTCAAACACGGTCAACGAGGTGAACAATAATCTCGACTTTTGAGAAAAAAAATTATAAGACTTTTAAAGGGGATCGCCCCTATTGTGTACGGATCGGCCCCAGGGGCGATCCGGGTGGTTATTTTGGCAAAACCTCTAAAATGTGGTTATTTTGTAGCAAAGAGTTGTGTAAACCGGTTATTTTTATAAATAACCCTTAAAACTTTACATCTTAGATATCAAATAGAAATTTTAAAAATACATTACCCAAAATAAAAATCAAATTAAAATACGTTACTTTTTCATGCAATTTGTCTTTAATACTACAACAAACATAGATTCAATTTTTTCATTTTTCAAATAATCTCTCTTTCTAAAAATATCTAAAAGAATAAATTTATGAATTTCCAAAAATAACCCTTGGTCAGTGATCACTCCAAAAAGCAGTGGCAATAAGCCAAGTACCCATTCTAGACCCTTCACATCCTATCCTTCCTTTTCGTACTCCATCGCTATTTAAGACCCATAACCACCGCCATTACTTCATCTTCATCTTCCACCACCCTTTTCTCATCTTTCCGGCGGCCATGGCGACTACTTTCACCACTTCTATCTCCACCAAAACCAACACTACCTTCTTCGATCAATCCTCCTTCTATGGAGTCCCAATTTCTTCCCCAATTCGTGTCCAACCACCTAAATCTGCACTAAACAAAACGTCCATCACTATGTCTGCAGCTTCTTCTTCACAATACGATCTCGGATCCTTCACTTTTCAACCGATTAAGGAATCGATTGTTTCTCGTGAAATGACCAGGAGGTACATGACTGATATGATTACTTATGCTGATACTGATGTCGTCGTTGTCGGTGCTGGATCTGCTGGTCTTTCATGCGCTTATGAACTCAGCAAGAACCCTAATGTTCAGGTATTGGTTTTTCGTTGAATGTTGTTCTATGTCAGACTAGATCGTGATGATTTTTGGGAATTTAGGTCGAGAATTCATTCGGAATTGAATTGCGATTTGTTAGACCATTTCTTCATTCTCCAATGGCGTGACGGATCTTGCATAACCATTGTTTCAATATTTCTTACACCAAATTTGATCTATGGATTTTATTTTAAATTTTGTTCAAATCTTAATTTCGTATATAAAACAACACACATTAAAACCGATTTGTGATTTTGTATGAATTATTACAGAGGTTCAAATGAAAATGGTAATCAAATTAAAAGAACACGAGAATTGCCGAATCAACGTATACAATCACATGTAATTCGACTATTTTTTATTTATTTTTTTAGTTTTGTTCTCATATGAACGTGGATGTTATAAGTCATTATATAAAAACTCTTAAAAAAACACTTTTTATCATTAAAATATTTTTTATTAATATATATTACTTAAAATTTAAAATTATAAGTAATTTTACGTAATTATAACTTATTTAAAGCTTTGTTTTTAAATTTATGTAACTAATTCCGGATAAAAATTCATTTTAAATATAAAAAATCTAAAATATAATTAAGATAATCATTGAGTTYTAACATAATGTTTAATTATTATTTTTATAAAAAATTATATTATTAAMCCAAAATAAATTATTTTGTTATTAAATTTAAATTAAATTATAATAAAAAATTGAATTAAAAGAAGTTACATGAAAAAAAACAAGAACTATTAAATAGTTAATTTCATACTAATATCGATTTATTTTTTCAAATTTTCATGATATCTTTAAATTTATATTTCATTCAAAAATAAAAATATTATCATTTTTTTAAAACCACATAAAATCGTATTATATCGATAGAAACAAATAATAAAAACTAAACATTAAAATGAAGATTTATCTCGTTGCATTGTACGAGTATTATATATATATATATATATATATATATCCAAAATTTAAAAATGTATATATGAAAACTGGTATGTAAATTGTAGGCTTGTAAAAATTGTTGGTTTTGTATTATGTCTATGTAATAAACTATAAAACTACTGGTCTGTAAAAACGTCCGGACTTAGTCCATTCTGTTAACGACCGTTGATTTTTTTCGGTAAATGAGAGACATTTTCGTCCTTCGATCGATTTTTTTTGTCTTTTACCCAAATCGAAACCGATTTTATGATTTTGGTACATGTGGTTTTTGATTAGGTAATAGAAAAACAAATCGATAAATAGACGAAAATGCTTCTCATCTAACGAAATTTTTGATTGGGAGTAAAAGGAGGACCAAATCTGGAAGTTTTTATAAACTACGATAACCATCTTGTAATTTCAAAACTGTAAGGATGAAAAGTGTTATTTTTGACCCATAAGGAACTAAATTTGTAGTTTACTCTAATTATATTTTTATTAGTTTTAAATTTTAAACAACTGAGTTGTCATTTATTTAACTTTATTTTAAAAGTTAAATATTTTTATTAATTTAAAACACGATAATATATTAAATTTAATTAAAAGGATACTCATACGATGTAACAAGATACATCTTAATTTTAATATTTTTTTTATTCATTGATTCTATAGATGTTATAATACGGTTTTAATTGATTTTGAGAAAAAAACGATGATGTTTTTATTTTTGAATAAAATAAAAAAATTTGAAAAAATATATCAATATTAGTATCAAATTGACTATTTAAAAGTTTTTTTCTTTGTAATTTCTTTAATTCAACTTTATTATTATAATTTACTTCAAGTTTAATAATGAAGTAATTTATTTTTGGTTTAATAATATAAATTTTCATAAAGATAATAATTAATTATTTTGTTAGAATTCAATGATTATTTTGATATTCTTTAGATATTTTATATTTAAAATTAGATGTTTGCCTTGTATTTTTATTATATTTATCTATAGTTAGTTACATGAATTCAAACATGAAGTTTTAATAAGTTGTACTTATGCACAAATTACTTGTAATCTTGAATTTTAAGTAATATGCATCAATAAACAGTCTTTTATGCATAAAAAATGATTTTTAAGAGTTTATGTCAAATGCTTTATAATATAGTATAGATATAGATCAGTAACAATAAAACACGAAAATATAATCAAGAAATAAGTTAAATATATCTATTATGTTATTGTAAAGTTTGTATATAATTTGTAAAGATGATAAATATAAGAGTATAATTGAAAAGAGTTAGGTTTATAATAGAAAAATAATCAAATAGGAGAACACGAAAATGGCCGAATCACATGTGATTTTACATTAGTCACATGTAAAATGACATGTGGTATCATCTGACTTTGCCCACTCCTCCATGCGTTGACTATGTTCCATAATTGCATGTGATTCGACCGTTCTTTTGTTTTTTAATTTTGACTTTGTTCTCGTTTGATCCTCCATCTTGTCGAAAATTTATATAATTAAAGATAAAAAAATTGCATAGAATCTTACGTTTTGGTGTAAAGAAAATGTTATCAATTGGACACGAATTACGTTTGAATGTTTGATTATGTGTTGGTCAGGTGGCGATTATCGAGCAATCTGTGAGCCCCGGTGGCGGTGCATGGCTCGGCGGACAACTATTTTCCGCCATGGTTGTCCGCAAGCCCGCACACCTCTTTCTCGACGAGCTCGAAATCGAGTACGACGAGCAAGACAACTACGTCGTCATCAAACACGCGGCTCTTTTCACCTCCACCATCATGAGCAAGCTGTTGGCCCGACCAAATGTGAAGCTCTTCAATGCGGTGGCGGCCGAGGATTTGATCATCAAAGAAGGAAGAGTTGCAGGAGTTGTGACCAACTGGGCTTTGGTGTCGATGAACCACGACACACAGTCGTGTATGGACCCTAACGTGATGGAATCGAAGGTGGTCGTGAGCTCGTGTGGCCACGATGGTCCGATGGGTGCCACCGGAGTCAAGCGGCTCAGGAGCGTTGGGATGATCGATAGTGTTCCAGGGATGAAGGCTCTCGATATGAACACAGCTGAAGATGCGATCGTGAGGCTTACGAGAGAGGTTGTTCCTGGAATGATCGTTACCGGGATGGAAGTTGCAGAGATTGACGGTTCTCCAAGAATGGTAGATGCAAATTCTTTTTTTTAATGTGAGAATATGCGAACCCCGTTAGGTTAATCTACAAAAGAGCCATCCAGTAGAGGTTTACTACTTTAGGGACTTGACACTCGTGGCTGGGGCCACGGTCTTCCCCAAAGTGTTGAGAGAGGGCTAGGCGAGTGCAAATTATTCCAGAGGGCCGAGTCCGTAGAGTGGTAGATATTGGTTCTGATACCATGTGATAATAAGTCTCGAGGAAAATACCAGTCTAGGGACTCAAGATTCTGGGACTCGTGTAGCCCCCTCTCAACATTATGGATAATTTGTGCTTGTCTAGAGGGTTAGACAAGTACAAATTGCTCCACTCAAGGTGTCGAGTCCTTAGAATGACATTGATACCTTGTGAGAATATGTGAACCCTATTAGATTACTTTCTAAAAGAGCCCTTGTGAGGCTTACACATTACTTGTATGCACATGAGCGTACCGTTCAAATGAGCGATTACCAGAGTGTTTTTCAAAATTTCATTTTCTTTGTGGGTTTTGCCTTGAATCTGATCATATATATATATGTATATATATATATATATATATATATATATATCTCAAAGAATAAAGTCTAGTTGATGCAGCACTCGAACATTATTTCCGATGGTGGTTCTTGAATCTTGTGTTCACAAGGTGTTTGATGAAATGCAGGGGCCAACATTTGGCGCGATGATGATTTCAGGGCAGAAGGCTGCACATTTGGCATTGAAGGCATTGGGACTTCCTAATGCTCTTGACGGAACGTACGTCGGAAGTGGCCAGCCGGAGCTGATCCTTGCGGCGGCAGACGGTGGTGATACCGTCGATGCTTAAATGTGGTAAGAATTGAGGGTGAGGAATAACCACCGTGAATGGTGGTGGGATATGAAAGCTTTTACTTTCTTGTTCATATGCTTTACTCTCTTGGATGCTTTATGTGAATCATTTGATGCCCCTATTTCCCTTCCCATAATTTGGTTTTTTTTGCCCACTTCGTCAAATTGCAACCGATTTTAGATATGACATCTCAGATATTTAAGCATGTGGTTTATATCTGAGGATGCATGAAAATGCAAATTATGTTGGTCTGATTCTTATTTAAGATATCACAAATGAGATATCAAAATGAAGACTTTCAAAGTGTGTCACACAAAATAAGAATTAGATCAACGTACGTTGCATTTTGTGTAATTTGCCATTTAAATGGTCAATGTAGCATATAATCATGCATGAAGCAGTACGATGTTTTTATAACGTGGACCGGTGGTCAAAAGGACTGACCTTTATGGTCATTGGTCCTTTTTTAACCACCGGTACAAAATATGTTTTGAAGGTTTACGTAGGTTTAGAAATGCAAAATAAGCCTAAACCTAAAGCCCGACATTGACTTGTCCTTGAATTGGACCTCTGAAGAAGCCTAGACCTATTGAGCCCGAAGCATGGTCTAGGCCAGGCCTCAGAGTCCGATCAAGCCGAAATTTTGGGGGCAAGTCGGGCCTAGACCCCCACCCAAAAACCTGATCAAGCCCTTTTTCAACCTTAAAACTTGGTCCGACCTGTATCGGGCTTAAAATAACTTGGGCTGTTTTTGTTCACCGGAAACAAACTTAGAAGTCCCAGACTTTGTGCTTCTCCGGATGAGTTGGACAGTAGACGAATTGGTTTTAACCAATCCTCATTAGTCTCTATTCATCTTTTTACTACTTCAGCTTAAAAATTAGTTTAAGATGTTACAGATTGACCCGTTTTAACTTGAATTAGGGGTTGTTTGGCAGTTGCTGAATGACTTGATGTATAATGATTAAGTGGTCAGAATGATTAAAAGGCTCTCATGATATAGTGCAAAATGAATTATAATTGTTTGGTAATTGTTTACAATGAAATCAGGACGCTGAATTCATGGGGTTTTAGAACCATTAAAAGACAGATTTTTTTTGTCAAACAATATTCACCTTTTAACAATTTAGAGGTTACCTGTGAATGAAACTATTAAGAATTTCATATCCAAAACTTTATATTGCTGTAAAGTAAGAAAAGTTAAAATTTATCATAAATTTATTTTAATTTACATGTTCTATGAAGATTAACTTCTTTTTCTCAATTAACATAACAAACATTTAAATTTTTATATTTATTTTCATTAATAACCAGAAAATCTTGTAAATCTATATTATGTTATAAAACATTTGATAAAAATTCATAAAAACCAATTTTTATGTATAAAATATTGTTTATTGATGCATATTACTTAAAATTCAAAATCACAAGTAAATTGTGTATAAGTACAACTTATTAAAGTTTTATTTTGAATTTATGTAACTAACTATAGATAAACATAATTAAATACGAGATATACATCTAATTTTAATTATAAAAAATTTAAAATATAATTAGAATAATCATTAGTTATAACAAAATACTTAATTATTATATTTGTAAAAATTATATTATTAAACGATAAATAAATTACTTTGTTATTAAATTTAAATTAAATTATAAATAAAATATCGAATTAAAAAAATTACACAAACAATCAGAACTTTAAATAGTAAATTTGATACTAATATCGATATATCTTTTTTCCAAAATTTTATGATATATTTAAATTTATATTTTCTTCAAAAATAAAAACATTATTACTTTTTCAAAACCAACATAAATAAATAATAAAAAAACATTAAAATTGAAATATATCTGGTTATATACATCAAAGACATATATCATATATGGAATATCCTTAGAGAACTAAGTAAAGCAAAGTATCACAACCCAAATATTAATTTGTAAACTAAAAATTGTATTAAAAAATTTATTCTGAATTTGTTTTTTAAAAAATAATCATTTTTTAAGAATATTTTACATTATTCAAATACTCTACTGAGTCACTACTTCACCGGATGATATGGTAAGGATCAAGAATTTTATCTGTTAAGAACGAGACAAAGACCAAGAATTTTATCTATTAAGAGCGAGACAAAAACCAAAAATTTTATCTGTTAAGAACGAGACAAAGACCAAGGGTCTTACCCGGTAAGTGAGAACGACGACCATTACCATGGTAAGCGCTTACCGGGTAAAATTGTTGTACACAATGTCGTTTTGGTGGACTAAAATCTTACTCACTATGTAAATAATAATGTTAAATTTTACCGGTAAGCACTTACCGGATAAGTGTTTGGTAAACGGCCCCTAAATGTCCATATTTTTGTTTTAAAATAAATATCTAACTTTTAGAAATAAATACATATTTTCAAGTTCATATTTAGTTATGAATTTTTAATAAAATTAATTACTCCTTTCCATAATGTACTTGCAGAACTTCTATTTTGGTACCTAAGATGTAAAATTTTAAATATTTAAGTACCCGGATAACCAGTCGAAGCATTAACCGATTATCATGCTGATGTGGCGAGTGATGAGATGAAATTGGGTTGAATAACAAATAGTAATGAGTTGGATACCACATCAGTATGGTAACCGGTTAATGTTTCAACCAGTTACACACACACTTAAATGTTTAAAACTTTACATCTTAAATATCAAAATGAAAGTTTTAAAAATACATTATCTAAAATAAAAATCAAATTAAAGTAGATTCTTATTTTTAATTACAAACATAAATAAAAACAGTGTAATTTCCTTTTGATTAGAAAATTTGAGAAAAGTTGATGAAATATACTTTGTGCTCCAATTCAAGAAATCTTGGAGAATAACCAAAAGCTTCATCTCCACTTCACCATTTCACCTCTAATTTTGGCTACAAATACCCACCATCATGTCACACTTAATTTCACCACCACCACCGCCGCCACCACCACCGCCATCACCGCCGCCACCACCTGCATTGTTTAACATGGCGAACTCCATCGTAAACCACCGTAAGCAAGCAATGATCGCCGCCGTGGTGGCGATTTTAAGTCTTTTGACGGTGGTTCGGAAAGGAGATGCGTATGAGTTCAAAGTCGGAGGTTCTGGCGACTGGAGCATCGCAAGTACTTATAATCAATGGGCCGAAAGAAGTCGGTTTCAAATCGGAGATACCCTGTGTGAGTTTCTTCGATTTCTTTTGAAATGTGTAATCATTATGCTTTTTAGTTAATTAAAAGCATCTTCAATAATATGCTGTATTTTCTCTATCTTCTTCCATATTTAAAGATTTCTACTCCCTCTTTCTACTTCATCTGTACCAAAATAAGTGTCTATATTGTTATTTAGTTTGTCGTAAAATAAGCGTCCACTTTTAAAAATAAATTTCTTTTTCTATAAATAAGGGTAAAATTGTCTTTTTGTTTATTAAAAGTGTAATAGCTACACAATCGTAAATCATAATAATTAAGGATAAAGTCATAAAGTAGGCCGTTGTTGAAAGTACAGAATTATTTTGATACAAACTAAAACAGAAATGTTGATATGAATTTGTCAAATTCTTCTTCATAATTTTATGAAGTGGAAAAAGCTGCTCTACTATTTGGGTACACGAACTGCCTACATTTCATCTCAGACCAAATATCTGAGCAGAATTTACTGGGTTCTTTTAGTTTGCTTTAATATGATGTTATCGTCGTTTTGGTTGATTTAAACATCACACGGGAATCGGGTGTTCGAAATGGTATCGTTTCTTGGTCGCGGGTTGGATTCATGAATCTCTTAGAAATGATGACGATATAGAATTTTGTTTGGTTCTTAAGAAAATAGGTTACTTATAGGATTATGGTATGTTGATCGAAAGATTTGAAGTTTGTTCATAGGCTTTATTTCACTATCTTTGGCTTTATGCTTGATCGAAAATGAGGGCACTTGAAGGTGACGGGTTCAAATCTTTTCAGCCTGACTAATATACAATCGGTTTTTTTTTGGGCTTTTATAGTGTTCAAATATCAGGGTGATAAAGACTCGGTGCTTGAAGTGAGCAAAGACGATTATAACAATTGTAATACCGCAACGCCCATTGCAAAACACGACGACGGTCACACCGTGATCAAGTTGGATAAGTCCGGGCCTCACTACTTCATTAGTGGAGTTGCCGAACATTGCAAACATAACGAGAAAGTGATGGTTGTTGTAATGGCGGATCGGAGCCACAAATCGTCATCGGAATCTCCACCTTCTCCGGCTCCGGCAGGTGAAGAGTCTCCGGCGGACAAGAACCCTCATTCTTCTCCAAATGGTGCATCTTCAGTTGTCATGAGCCTTCTTTGCTTCATTGGAGGATTTGCTTGTTTCTTGAGTTGGTGATTTGCATGAACAACAATTTGGTTTTTGTTTTTATTTTTATTTTTATAATCATTTATTTTTACATTTTTGTGTAATTGTGTTGTATTGGAGTGTGAAAAGATGAACAATGTTCGCATATGAGGAAATAAATTGGTATTTGTTTTGTGTGTATACAAGTATTTGTTGTTTTACTATGAGAGGGTGTGTTTGGTACACATACAGAGCTGTGTTGGATGAAAAGGAATGGAACTAGACGGGCGAGAACGAGGTAAGACGGATGAAAGAATTGTGAAAGATTTTAGGGTTTTAATTTAATATTTGAGCAAAAAGTTAATTACCGGCAACTTCAACCGGCCCTACAAAGAACCCGCTTCCAAAGACGCTGATGTGAAGGGGCATTTTTAGCTTACTCAGCGGCTGAGGCTGGTGGAGGAACCCATGATCAAAACCGATACCTATCTTGTATATAGGCAAAGTCGTTCCACCCCTTTGCCAATTAAGCTACGTGCCAAAGGCTTAATTTGACACTAATAGTTCAGTAATTTACCAACCTTGTCTCGTTTCTCTGATTTTTGTTCCACTTATTTTGGTGAAACCGAAAAAAAAATACATTTTTATCTTAGTCTAATGACAAACCAAAATAACAGAACAAGTTTTTGTTCTGTCATATCCCGTACTATCTCCCTTACCACATGCACTATTAAAGTTTCATATCATCTGAACACAGACCATCAAATATGAATATATGTACGAACATCTTCTATCTCTAAAAAGGCTTTTTTTTAGAAAACAATTCAAATAGTTTCCACATATCCTCACAGAAACATAACATACCACCCATATCGAATGTGTTTCCACATCGATTACTATGTTATTCCTCTCGACAAACTTATCGACTTAAGACATCCGTGGTTTCTGCAGAGAGTCTCACACCACCCTCTTGATGTTGCAGGAACGAAAATCCGGCTAAAAAATTATTTGGACATTGCGGTTACTAATTCCGACCGGTCGTCTCAACCTCTCGTTTATTTTAATGAATTTCCCAACCTTCAATTTCGTTTGATAGATACGAGACTCCCGTATGGCAAAAACCTCCCAACGAAGTAACGATGGCCTGATGAGGCTTGTTATCGGAGAAACTGGAAAAAACCGAAAGACCTTCGAATCGAGAAACTGTATTGTATCCCAGCTAAAGGTTTTTTCCTAGTTCAATTTTTTTCACCAGTCTCATTGTGTTGTGAAGAAGTGAATCCAATATCCCAGCAACCTGAAACCAGTGGTAAAAAAGGGAAAAAGAAACAATCAAGGGTAAAATAGTATTTTCACATCCCCAGCTAAAACAATCACCATGATTTACTGGGTTTCAGGAGAATTTGCTGGTTTGTACTTCCTGTATGCATAGTTGAACCCCTCAATAATCATAGTTTCTTTTCTATAGGATTAGGTTTAGGGGAAAACCAAAAAAAAAAAATTGAAAAACTGGAGAACACCCTAGTAACATTCATTTATACGGTATGCACACATGCTTTAAAAAACTAGGAATCGTCTTCAATTACTTGTATACACATGTGCATACCATACAGATGAATGGTTATGGGGGTGTTCCTCGGTTTTTCATTTTTGGGGTTTTCCCCAAAACATCACTCTTTTCTATATATTGATATATTTGTGCACAAGGGTTTGTAACCACTAACCAGCAACCCGAGCATGCCCACACTCCTAAAGCATCATATGAGAGGCAAATCAGGCACTTAAAGATGCACAAAAAGGCTTGAGCAGGAATCCAGAGTCCCGACCCGGAAAACCCATGCCTAGTGATCCCAAAGCTGAGGCCAGGCCTTTAAAGGCCATAACAGTCTTTTTTTCCAGGCCCAGGCTGGGTAAGGAGCGATTTTTGGTCCGAAGCTGACCCAGGTCAAAGCTCAAAAAAGCCCGGCTGATAAGGCCCGAATCAGGCCCTGTTTCAAACCCAAGGTCCAGTCTGGCCTGTTTTTGCATCAGTGAAATCATGCTTTGCAGGCCCAGACCCTGTGGATTTCTATAAGTTGCACAACAGTCAGCTAGGTGGATGGGATAAGAGTCCAGTGTCGAGAAGCCCAATCCCCAAAGGAATTGTATCTCCCACACTGCGGCTCCCAGACTCGAACCCACGATTTTAAGCAAATATACAATCCCAAAACCAATTGTAATATGCCCTGAGGGTTATAGACAAAGGATCGTATGAGAATATGAGTTAAAATGTGAGAAGTGTAAGAAGGGATTTGGACCCTTGATCACTTTTAATCCAAAAACAACCCATGAATAGTGCTTTAGAAGGGAATTGATCTAGTGTATCTCATTAGTGTTGATCTAGTGGTTCTCTTCAATTAGGATTCATCCAAGGATGGAGATCTCTTCTTACCCTTCTCATCATAACTTTCATTCTCAACGGAACCCAACCCGGGGGCTATATTGGGTATTTATGTATGCACAATCTACAAACCAAAGGAAAAGAGATGCTGAAATTTCTAAGTTCGGCAGTCATGTTTCCAAGAATAACTACATGCCAGACAGTTGTGGCTCTGCCTCCGGCTCCGCATCACCCTAGAGTATTAACAACCTAGATCGAGTTGGGTAGCAGGTTGTTCAAGCTCGACTAAAGAAAATAATATTAGGCTCGAGCTCGAATAACTTTTTCAGATAGTGCTCTAGCTCAAGTTCAAATACTTTTCGATCTCGATGCTCGTTTAACATACTTGAGTCATACATTGTACGTTTATGGGCTCAAACTTGTGATCGATTAACTCATTTATTAGCTTGAGCTCGATGATTTTTATATTTTAATTGTATCATTTATGAACATATGAACATATTTGACTCGAAAAATGAACACTCTAATGACGGCTCAGCTTGAGTCAAAATTTAATTGAGCTTTTGACCGAGTCGAGTCGAACATTGGCATATGGAGCTGGACTTCTTTAGTTAAACGAGCTTCATTTTGTATTCGAGATTGACTCGAGCTCGAGAATTATTAAGCTCGAAGTCTCGAACTCGAGTAGCTCGTTAAAAGCTCAGATTGTTAACACCCGTTGATAACCCAATATATCTGATTCAAAAGTAGAGCATGAATATACGCACACAGATGATAGTGAAATAAAGACTAACCGTGAATATGCCACCAATAATGGCACAGATGTTGGTGATGAAATGCGGAAACGATTTCTCATTTTCCATTACCAAGATCTGATCACAAACGTCGAAACAACAAAAATAAATTTCAAAGGGGAAATTGACTAAAATAGCCGAACTACCCATCCGCATTCACTTCTTAGCCAGATTTTCAAGCCAATTCCCAAACTAGCCATTCTTTATGCAAATGTTTTACCCATCTAAATAAACAAAAATGGTCATTTGCATAAAACGGTACAAATTTGTGTGAAAAAAGTACGCATTTGAGTAAAGAAATTAAACATTTGTGTAAATTATGACTAGTTTGAGAATTGCCTTAATAATGTGGCTAGAAGTAATTTCCATTTTAATCGACAAGAGCAGCAGATATAAAACGGAAAACTTTTGAAACGAGGTTTAAATATTCAACCTGCATCGGTGAAGGCTCGAAATGGAACTTTGCAACGGGGATCGTATGTGCATGAACCAAACTACTATGTGCTGTGTACTCGTAATCTTCGATCAATTGATGAGATGAACTCATCACTTCAGTCTTCACAACTTGAAGATAATGCTCTATCTACATTCACGTTTCACAAATACAAAGCTCATCGTAGGACCTATTGAAGTATTACTTGATAAATAAAGGTCCATAAAAGGGTTAATTATGAAAGAGATTAACAAACATACAAGTAATAACGAATGATTATGGTTTAACCAATCGGGGTTTTCTTTCTCAATGTCGGAGTCCCGCAGGCCGCATCAGCTAGACATAGACCATCAAACCTATATATATATTAAACCAAAGAAACGGTCGAATCGCATGTGATTTTACACAATCACAAGTGATTCATGTGACTTTGGCTGCAACTTGAGGTGATGGGCCACTTCGCCTGCACACTCTTGTGTTGACCGTCGGTACGTGATTTGACCGTTTTCGTGTTCTCTTATTTAGTTATTGTTCTCCTTTGAAGCTCCTTCTATATATATATATATATATATATATATATGAACCTCTCCTCTCTTTGTAAAGGTTCTTTTAGGGTGTGTTCGGTTTGCAGATGGGACTGGACTAAACGAGCGAGAGTGAGGTAGACTGGTGAAAGAATTTACAAGGTTTTAGGGTTTTAATTTGACATGGGTGGTTTAGTAATTTACCAATCTTGTTCCATCTCCCCGATTTTGTTCCAGCTATTTTGGTGGGCTTCTGTCTAAACGTCACAACAAACGTGGGACAATAAGTTTTTGTCATTTCATGTCCCGTCCTGTTCCGCCTATCAAACGCGCCCTTAGAGAGAGATTCAAAGGGGTACCACATATACTCACATGGTATGAGGGTCAACGTCTAGCACCATCTAGGGACTCGATGTTAGAAAATAGAGTTATGGAAGAAGAAAAAATGCAGCAAAACAATGATTAGGACGTGATTGAACATTGCCCTTAGGATATTATTAGCCCCCACTATCAAGTTTGTTTGGGTTAAGGCTAATACACCCCCAAAATTACCTAATCAATTACATATGTTCGAAGACAAAACATATCTTCAATGAACATTTCTGCTCAAATATGTATGAAGACAAAGGAGAGGAATAAGAGAGATGATCTTAAATGATAAGTACACATATACATAGGTTTGTGTGTATAACTGATTCAGATAATTTTAGTGCTAATGCTATCTTTTGACCATTTAATATATGTGTAAAATCCACATAGCAGGGTCAAATCTTCCTTACCTCATTTCATCTCTCAAAACAATTCAATAAGATGTTTAGAGCATATAAACAAAGAAGATTATATACTCTTCCTATGTGGGACAAGTGATATACCTTCAGATTCATATATATAGCTCATCAATACAAGTAAGATTCCACTATATTTACTGTGGGACAAAATCTCACTATGAAGACTATATATACAATACTCGACACACTCTTTCGCCTCCGTTTTAGGGAGCACCGTCTAACCTCCATTTGAGGGGGCATGATGGAGTCTGACATCAACTAGACACAGACCATCAAAACTCAATATATGCGGGAACCTTCCTTCACGGCTATTTTAGACTATCCTAACATGGATGATCAACTGATCGATAAGAAGCGTATGAAGAAGCTTATTTATCACTTTAGTGTTAGACAACTTACCGTAACATTTGCACGATCTTCTACATTGATGTACACCTTGCCACTCAACTTGTCATGGGTTGTTTGAGTGTAATGGTGTAGTCGCCTAAGATCATTCATCATCCTTGGAGTGACCTTCTTCCCAAAGGTAAAATTAGAAATGATATGTGACATGTTCATCAGGGAAGCATCAAAGGAATGGGATTCTGAACGGGCTGAAATGACAAGATTGCCAGGAACCTGCATAGTACACAACATGTTTCGATCATATTTGGAGCACAAAAACAAAACCAAGGGCTTGTTGTTAGCAGCTTAATGAGCTTACACAACTTATTTGGTCAGCTATACATGATATAGAAAGTGGCTCACTGAGTAAGCTTCTAGGGGGAGCTTTATACAGAATGCCAAGTTTTTTCTTTTTTCCAACTTGTCCCTCCCAATTAAAAAAGACGCTGCTTCCATCTAAAAAAACCTTCCCAAATAAAACCTTTCCAAATTTATCCACACAGAAATTTATCCATACAGTATTTAATGGAAAACCAACCAAACAACCCTCAAGTCAAACGAACCTAGTAAATCACAAGACCAAAGGGTCATTGGCCCACTGGTACAAGGATTAGCGGTGAAGCCCAACCTCCCTTCGTAGAGGTCAAAGGTTAAAGCCCCATCAAAAATGAGAAATGTAAAAAAATTGCATGCAAATTAGGGTTTGACGGTAGGCTGTCCAAAGACTTTTCATCTACTCAAGGGTAAAGAGGCTGTTTCCAATTCTCCATGAAGACAGTATTTGTGCAACAAGTGAATGTGTAAATACATGTTGGTAAAGGATATGAGATCATCATATAGGGATCATTGTCTCTTTTGATGTAAAATACTACCTTCTTGACTCGTACAAACCCTTCGATTCTACATCCTCCTCCACGTGGTGCAGGTCTTTTTGCATCGACTATGGTCTTGCCATCTCCATCCTTTGAAGAAGATTTTTGGGAATCCAATTCAATAGGTCTAACCAATTGTTCCATTGCCTGTAGGAAAGAAAACACTAGCTAAAGTAAGACGCACCTCTAGGAATGGAAGTATTACACGCGAATATCATAAAATAAAGGGGTATAGGCAGTGGGCTGCTGTACCGGTCCCACAACCATCCTAAGGGAGGATGTTATGAACCAAGCACTCAATTGATTAAAAACAGGATCAAAGGAAAGAAGTAATCGGCTGTATGATTAATTGAAAGATAAACAAGGAATTACTAGCATTCGAGAGGCTGCATTTGAGCACGGGTTTTTCTGGTTAAGTGTATCTTGTCTTTACCACGAACAAAATAGATCCGACACATATAAAATATGGTTAAGGCTGGTTAAGCCAGCCGTAGACCAAGCTATTAATGCAAAGAACTCTCCTACACCCAGACACTGATTTATACTACTAGCATAATAGGATTATTCTGACCCAAAGGGAGGCTCTGCTAACAGAATAAGTCCCAGAAATACTAAAACACCCCTTCTAACCCCTTCTAAAATCTATAAGGTACCGATAGGCTTAGGCTTGGGCTTGGGCTTGGGCTTGGGATTGGGCTTGGGCTTGGGCTTGGGTCAATGCATAACAGAGGAAGTCTCAGAGGCAGATGGATGGTGCCCGAAATCAAACCCCAGGCCTCACTTATGGATTCCCACCTCCTTACCATTAGGACAATTCAGCAGGGACCACAAGTCCCAATTAAGCAAACAAGTTGTACAGATGATGTCATTAACAATAGCATTCTTACCTCAACCAAGCTATCTGTATCGCGGTCTCCGTAATATGATTCATGCTCATGGTGCCCATGCACATCCCTAATTCAAGTAAATCAAAGAATGAAAAAGGCATAAAAGAGATTTGACATGCACATAAAGATAGCGGCGTAAGCTATTTACCTAACATCACTCCCCTTACGGAAGATGCGAATAGATGGATATCCTTGTATGTGATGGCTGAAAACCAATAGAAAATGAGTAACATTCAGGATAACTGGAAAGTGTAAAGCACAAGAACTGAGTCTTGATCTCTACACCTTATCCCCACTGAGGGGTTATTCGTGTAATGGTATATAGTAGAACACAATTGAATCACTCAATATCTGGTGGTTTATTCATTAAATGAAGCATGCTATAAATAGCTTACAAGAACTAAC